CAATTGAGATCATCTGGTCAAATCTCTTTATCTGACTGGGAAGGAATTTGAGGAGCAGGCAAGGTTAAGTGTTTTCTCTAGGGTTGGAAAACTAATTAGTAGCAGAGCAATAAATCACGTTCACAAACAGACATGCTTTCAGAGTGAACTCAATAACGTGTCCTCTATGGGACTACAAAGAACACCCAGGTAGTGAGACAAACCCCTGACATATCTGTGACAAAGAAGTATCTATGACATAGGCATAGATCTGTGACACGGATAATACAGAGCAACATCTTTAAAACTAAGCACCCTGTCAGAAATCTTTAAAATTTGCTGCTTTGGTCACTCAGTAGGGTTGGTGTTTCTACTAACATCTTTCCATACACAATTTTAGACTTTGTCATAGCAAATACCCTAGACTTCCCATATTTTCATTCATGTTTATATAAAATCAGATTAGTTACATATTGGGGCATAATTATTTAACACCAATAATCTTTGTGCCATGAATCACCAGAATGCAGATCTTTGAAATTTTATATTTACACCATGATCTTTTACTAGAATAGTTAGTGTTGCAAAGTTTTAAAAAGGAGAGAAAAGTTTTCCCATGAGGCTTATTGTGAAAGTTCATTTGTCTCAACTTGTTAAAAAGATCCATCTGAAGATCCAAAGATTTGCCTCCAGGGGTTATGGTAAGAGCCAGGGATGAGAGGGAAACAGCCATGAGCAAAAACCATCCTACAAGATTAGAGTAGATCTCGGCAAAGCACAAACAACCACTGAGTCAGAAGTCATAGCAAACATCTAGTTTCCCCCGTGAGAAAATGAAATGGGAGGCAGACGTGTGAGAAAGAGTCAAAGCATGGAGACACATCCTGATAACAGGATCAAAGCCATTCCCATGAGGAAGAAAGCCAACATCAATTAAGATGTCATTTCAGGGGGGAAACAGGAATGAGATAGATAGTGAGACCCACAGAAAGTAGAAGGGAGATTCAAGGTTCTTTTTGGTCTGGGTTGTGTGGAGAGACATGCTTGCTGGATCTCTGGTGGAAGGGGGAAGGTCGGTTGGTCGCTCCTCTGGCCACCTCTTTGTTCTATCAGGTTTCCAGCCCAGGATCTGCCTCCCAAGTCCTTATTGGTAATAGAACAACTTAGATTAAAAACAACAAAATGATGTATCCTGTTTGAACAGATAAATTCAAAATGAAGAGAATTTCCTGATGATAAAAACCCTTACAGGACACTGTACTAACACAACTAGTAACTTCAACTTCTAATGCAGCATGTTTAAGGGTTCTCTCATGACAACTCTATGGCAGTTGAGCACACCACATAAAGGAATCATTTATTAAAATGAATTCCAAGCTGATGGTGAGGACACAGCATGAGAAGGCTAAATAAAGCAGGCCATGCTAAACTGTCAAGATAGGATGGAGCGTGGGTTACCAATGTTAATAGCACAGATGATATGAACAGATGATCCCAGACAAGAAGAGAAAGTAATAGAAACTACCAATAACTTTCTATGGTTTCCACAATACTTATAATAATGAAATACCATCATCTAACATACACATTTGCAAAGTCATAATATTTTCTTGTGAGACAAGCTTGCCTCAGCCTCTTGAGTGCTTGAGATACACAGATACCATTATGCCTGATTTGAATTCAAGTTAAGCCAATTTTTTCAAAAACTAAATAGAAATAAATATATTGAAGGCAAGAGAGAATTTGGACAAATAACTTTCATTATGATCTTATCTTGCTCCAGAAAAAATATTTGTTTTATGATTGTAGCAATTTTCAGTATTATTTACCTCATCATTTCATAATCTTTATAATAAATCATTTTACATATTTAAGATTAAAAGTTAATTTTAATAATGCTATTAACTTTAGTCACTACTATTAAATAAATTCATAATTGGATCACTAATATATTTTATCTGCTTATTTTTGTTATTGTTTAGAGTCATAAAATATATAGCCTCAACATTTAAGCCACAAATAGAAACTTTCTTTGAATTATAGTGAAATTTATATCTTATAAAAATCTATCTATATCAATATTTTTAAATTCACTATACATCACATACTTGATAATCCAAAAGCTATCTTCTGTAGAAAGTACTTTGCATCAGAAAAGGATTGAGGCCTAAATTTTTTGATATTTTGTGCTGGATAGTTTATGTCAAGTTGATACGAAGTAAAGTCATTTGAGAGGAGGGAATCTGAATTAAGAAAATGCCTCTGTAAGATCAGACTATAGTTAGGCTTGTAGCACATTTTCCTGATTAGCAACTTATGTGGAAGGGCTAAACGCATTGTGGGTGGAGACACCCCTGGGCTGGTGGTCTTGAGTTCTATAAGAAATCAGGCTGAGCAAGCCAGGAGGAACAAGCCACTAATTCCTCCATGTCCTCTGCATCTGCCCCTGCCTCCAGGTTCCTGCCCTGACTTTCTGCAGTGATGAGGAGATGTGGAAGAGGAGTCAAATAAACCTTTTCCTCCCCAGTTGGCTGCTGTTGGTGGTGTTTCACTACAGAAATAGTAACCCTAACCAAGACAAGCTTATTTGTTCATTTGTTGTGTATCGGGAGGTATGAGCAGGTGCCACAGAGGTTTCCATAAATCCCATACGGAGCTCAGAGAATAATGTGTGGGAGTTGGTTCTCTCCTTTCACTGTGCGTGTTTCGGGTTATCAGGCTTTCCAGACAGTGCTCTTACCTGCAGGATCATCTCCCCAGTATTAACACATCTCATTGCTGGACAAGGCACTCGGGAAAACACCCCACTTAATGGCTTTTCAAACAAACCAGGAGTCTTTGTTTCCTTGGGAAGATTACATCCTGCCTTTAAAGTACTAGAGATCATCTCTTCTAGGACAAAAAGACTGGAAATCGAGATAATATCTCTGCTCTTGACCTATGAATTTTACCGCAGAAACTTACTAGAACTTAATTGTGACATTTATTTAAAAAATAGAATACCTTTTGAAAGATGGACTCTAACCAGCTTGCACAGCACATGTATTTTAGCCCTGTTCCCAGTAGGGCTTGATTCTTTGTATGTTGTCTTAGTTGGAGGACTGTGTTTTGTGATATTAAGTGAACTCTACTTTGGGAGCTGTGAGATAAGATCAAAAGTCTATCTTGTAAGGGATATTTTAAACTAATTAATAGAATTTTAATCTGCAGTCACTAAAACTCTCCTCAGTCACAAGTTTGACAGGAACCCCCTTCTACTTGGTGACCTTCCTTCCTTTAAATTATATCTTATATAAAATAAAGCTCTCTTGAGTTTTGGTAGAACTTCAAATATTTTCTGTGTGTGTGTGTGTATACAGTCTTTCATGCCATTGATTTTTCTTGCTACAAACACGCAGCAAAGGCATCAATGTGTTCTCTGGTACCTACTCCAGGGCCCCCTTATCTGTGTGTTATTGTGATAGACTTGTGACAGAAAAGTTACCTAAGAATTCTCGGTGAGGTTTCAAGCAAAGGAAAGCCATACTGATAGATACATTTGACTTTATTTCATTCAACTCAATCTTTAACATTAATAATCGTAAGAATGAAACATGTGAGTAGAAGCAGTTAAGGATTTTACCTTCTATTAAAGTTTAAAATGAATAGATGACCTATGTTCTGAAATGCTTGTTTTCATTTCAGGCCCTAGTTTTACATCTGTTTATTAAGCGTGGAGCTTGTAAATTGTAAATGACACATGGGTTCATGTATATTCTACTTTCCGAGAAAGACTCCCCTGGCACAAGTGAAGAACTTTGGCCTATGCACCAGTACATATTTGAATCTTCCTTCCACTTACACATGCATGGAGTCAAAATTAACTTCTTTTAGAGGCAAGCAATGCATTCACTGTTGTATGGTTGCTAAGACAACTGTTGGCAAAATATACTCTGTAAATGTTTAGGACCATCTATTAACTCAGACATCCCCTGTACCCTATGCAGCCGTGAAGCATCCCAGAAGCAAAGATAGATCTGGGCAACTGGATGAACACATTGTAAATCAACATATGTAAGTCACTCTAGAGGATATAAGAGCGATCATACCTCAACTTAAATGATCTGAGCTTGGTAGGGAGAATCTTGTGATTGAGACTGTTTACAGCAGAGAAAACTATGGCTACAGCATTTTTCAGAGACATTTACCTGCGAGAACAATGTTAATGAAAGGCAGAACCAACAATTCAACCCCATGTGTCGTTCAGATGCCAGAATCTAACCATTTGCTCCTCTCTTACATCCATACTATTTAATTACATAGTCTGGGCGCCAACAGAAAGGTAGTAACATCAGGCTTTCTAAAGGCTCACATTATTTAATTGGCAATATTTAACTATTTCTTATTCTATATAATAGCCGTGTGAGGCTTTGAAGAGCACATGGCCTAATTTTCAATCTTTTTTTTTTGGATCTGTCAATAACTGTCAGAGCCAAAGGTCTGTTCATTCATTCATTAGACGTAAAAGTTTTGAGAGACCCAATCCCTGGGAATGGGAAGAGAGAACTAACTCCATGTCAAGGGCAATTTGAGCTTATCCGTCTTTTGAGCTTCTCCAAATTTTCGTTTTCATCAGTTCAATAGAAATCCACTGATTACAATTTTTCCCATCCTCAAGAAAACATGATATTTTGTATGACAAAATCTAGTATTTTCAATGAATCAGATATTCTCAAACGATGTAAGTGAGAAATGTCACTTACTTCATAGGATATATCAATATGCAAACATACTATTTAAAATAGCTATTCCTACTACAGCAATATCGCCTACTTACCTCAGATGTGTAAACTTGGAAGTTAACAGAAAAGCTAACCACAATCCAAGCTATCAATATCAGAAAACAGTGTGTGGATCAGACAAAACAGTTTCTTCTTTCTCAGTAACTTCCATATACTTAGAAATCACTTCTATATTTTTTACTATTTTCTATTTTTCAAAAAAAAATTGGCATTCACATGGCCCACATGAAAGTCACATACCTTTATTACATGGCGCTTTTCTTGGAATTCAGGAATCTTAAACATTTGGCACCAGTATGTTGTGCCTTTGTTTGGAATGGGGACCTGTCTTAAGAAGAAGGGGAAGAAAATAAAAAGTCACGTTCTATTGACATGGCATCAAATTTAATAATATAAGTAAACAGTCTCTTACACACTTTCATTAACCAATATTTTTGTTTAAAAGCAGAAAAGGTACAAAAACAATAAAGAAAGAAGAAACTTACGTCTTGATTTACCAGATCAAAGTATGGTGAGGCTGGAGACAACACATCGACTTTCTCAGGGTTCAGTAACCGCAGACTCCTTGTGCCTCGATTTGAATCATGGTATTTGGGACCAGATTCTCCAGGATCTTCATGGTGGTAGGCCCAGATAACTCTCACTGTGCTATCCTGGTAATCAGATATAGGTACGTTATGTCTCACAACAACACTATCCTTGCCATTGAGTTGTGTTTGAAGAATACTACTTAAATCAGCATGTAAGAATAAAGAAATGAGAAGAAAGATATTTAGAATATCCAAAGGGTTGATTCTAACCCCCCCCCAAAAAAAAACAATGATCAAATACTAACCAAACTAATCAAAAGGAGAATATTCAAATGAATAAAATTGAAGGCTAAGAAGGAAAATATTATCAAAATATAATCTAGAAACTCATTATAGAACCCCTTAAAACTGATTTAAAAAAAGAGTGGAAAATTTAGAAGAAATGGTAAATTTCTAGACATACATGTGTTGTGTGGAAATTTTCTCTAAAACAAAATCTTCCATCTTTGAGAACATGCACTAGACTACAAGAGGTTCTAAAGTGAGGTGACATATTCTGTCCTGAAAGCAACCTCCTTAGACACAAATAAACAACTCAACAGTTTCAGGAAGTCCCTGAAACTGACCAGGATCCTCCTTTCCAAGTATATATAGGCACTAAGGACTTCTGAGCAACATACTCAGACAAACCGAGGCTCTGAGAATACTTTCTGACCAGCTGAGCTATTGAAAAGACTCAGGCAAGCTGAACTGTCCAGATGAGTCTCCATACCCATCTGTCCAGATACCTGAAAGAAGTGGAGACCAGATGAGTTTCTTAGGAGAGTCCAATCATTTGAGCTGCCCACAAGTTGTGCAGTGTGCCCAGGTTTCCAGCTTTCATACACTGTGACCCATCCCGAGGTGAGCTTTTAGTAATGCAGCTGCCTGAGTAATTTCTCACCCATCCTCCCACTAGTAATCCCAATAAAACCCATTGGTTCACCAAGTTTGAATTTGGTACTATCTTTAGTTTGATTTGTTGCTGGTTTCTTACCAGGATGAGTAGATGCTTGCTCATGCCTACCCATGAATAGTGTCACACAACCACGGGATCTACCCAAAATAAACTAAGAGGATATAAGCACCTTAAACAGATATATAACAACCATCAAGACTGAAACAGGAATACAAAGTCTCACAGCAAAGAAAAGCTTATGACTAGATGAATTCTTTTCCAAATTTTACCAAACCAGTTTCCATATGAATATGCAGGCAAAAACTCTCAGTAATATACTAGCACGCCAAACTCAGGAACATATGAAAAAATCATACGCCATGACTAAGTTTATCTCATTTCAGAATTGTGAGGTTGGTTCAATATACACAAGTCAGTAAATATAAAACAGCCCATAAACTTAAGAAATCATCTGCTAATGCCAACAAATTCAGAATAGGCCTTCTAAAAAGTTCAGTATCCCTTCATGATAAAAGCCCTGAAGAAACCAGGAATAGAAGGAACATATCTCAACATAATAAAGAACATATATGACAAATCTGTGACCAGCATAGCACATAGTGGGAAACAGAGAACATGGTCTCTAAAGTCTGGAATGAGATAAGGGAGCCTCTCACTGTAGTGACTGAATTCTTAGAGTACTAAGTAAAGAGGAAGAAACAAAGTTATATGAATAAGAGAAAAAAAAATTCAACTTACTGCTATATGCTGACGAAATGATCCTATATCTTAAAGACCCTAAAGATTCCACCAGGATATTCTTACCTCTGGTAAGCACATGGGGCAAAATAGCAGGATACAAAATTCATTTACAAAAATCACTAACTTTTCTATAGATCAATAATGAACATGCTCAGTAGGAAGCTAGGGGAAAATATCGCTTGCAATGACTTCAAATCAATAAAAGACAAGGAATAAACAAGGAGGTGAAAGATTTCTACAATCAAAACTCTAAGACAATGAAGAAAGAAAATGAAAAAGTCACTAGAAGACAGAAAGGTCTTTCATAATCATGGGTTGGCAAAATCAATATGAAACAAACATGTATGTCAGTGGAGTACAATAAAGGACCTAGAAATAAACCCAGGAAGCTCCTGGTAGCTACTTTCACCGATGTCCTCAAAGCACAGCTTGAAAAAGAGACAATATCTTCACAAAACAGTGTTTTTGGGAGGGAACTAATATTTTACCCTGAACAAAAATTGATCCAAAATGGATTAAATAAAGACTTTAATGTAAGAAACTCTGGAAACTGCTAAGGGGAAAAAGAAGTAAAACACTTCAAGATGTAAGCATAGGCAAGAATTGTTTTTAAATAGAACTGGAAATAATCCCAAGAATTGATGGCAGACCGTATCTGCACATCAAAAGAGACAATCTCCAGGATAAAGAGACAGTCTAACTACACCATGGAAAAGTGTTTCCTAACAAATCATCAGAACAGGGAATATTATCTATGGTACTTAAGGAGCTACACAAATTAATTACCATAACACTAAATCAGCCAGTCAACAAATGGGCTCGTGGATAGAATAGTCTATTCTCAAAATAAATACAAATGACGAATAAATATAAACAAGTGTCATAAATCCTTTGCTATTAGAGAATTTCAAATTAAGTTTTGAGATCTTTGGTATTTCCTTGGTACCACTTTGACTAATCAATCAACTAAATGTGATCTAGTCTTGGCAACCAACGTTTTCCTTGGTGGCATAAGATGTCTGCTGGAACTTTTTCTCCCCCTTTGTTCAGTGACTCCATTTCCATTTCATACATGTGTCTATTTTCAGAAGCCTCTACAGTAGTGAGTTTTCATATGGTTCTCCAAATGGCTCCTACTGCTAATTATCTTTCCCTATAATCCCTCTCTTACCCCTTTTTCCTCCTTTCAAATCTTGACATTCCCATTCTCCTCAGTCAGAATAGCTATCAGCAAGAAAACAAATGACTACAAATTCAGGTGATTGTGTAGAAAAATTTAACCTGTAGTTCAGTGCTGCTGGAAGTGAAAACATGTACAGTCACAATGAAAGTCAATGTGAAGTTTCTTCACAAAGTGAAAAGCAGAACCACGTCATCCTGCTATCCTGCTCCTGGACATATTCCAAAGGACGCCATACCCCACTACAGAGACACTTGTCTCTGCATGCTCATTTTTAGTCTATTATTCGAAATAGTTAGAGAATGGAATCAGCTTAGATGCCCATCGATCTTGAATGGATACTGAAAATGGAGTACATATAGTCAATGGAGCAGGGCCTCGATATTGGTAAAAGGAAATTCTGACATTTAAGGGAAATTGATGCAACTAAAATCACCATGTAAACAAAATAAGCCAGACTAAGAAAGCTTCTGTTTTCTTTTTTAAGAGAATCTAGAGTTTAAATTTTATATATTTATGCATTTATGTATGTGTGTTTGTAGGTCATGAAACCAGAATGGGGAGCCTCAGAGAGTTGGAAGGGATCTTCAAGAAGAGGAAAAGACAGGCAAGAAAGCAGAGAAACTTTGAACAGGGGGCACAGAAAGGGCAGTGGAGAAGGGAACAAATGTGGCAAAGCAGAATGGCATATTTCTATGAAAATGCTATGATGGAATCCTTTACTTTGTATGTTAACTTAAAAATAATTTTAAAATAAAAAGTTCATTTTTAAAAAACATTAGCTTACTCTTAGATTGCTTGTTTCCACAGCAGATCCTCCTCTAGGCACGAACTCAATTATGGATTTAGAGAAGGTGCAAATACAGAAGAAGGCAGCTCTGTGTCTGGGCTTGTTTATTTTACAACTCAAATCTGTGCTCAGTATGGGAATACCAGGAATTTCCAAGGGGAAGCGAGTGAAACTGGCTTTGACTGAGCTACAGAAGGAGATTGCCTGAGGGGCCGTGGGATGGGAAAGGTTTGCAGAAACAGAAAAATGACTGGATCCTTCAGCCCGCTCCTTGGAATAAGAACTCTGAGAATAAGTAATAAAGGAAGGCTACTTGTGTCAAATGTCCTCTTTGCTCTATTTTTTGTAGGTCCGATGACTACAGTAGTGTTCCAACAGAATTATGGTTGTACTGTTTGCTACATGGAAAGTGATGCTGGACTGTCCTTGTGCCTTCTTCCTTCTTCACTCCTTAGGCTGAGGGCTAATAAGAAGGACTTCAGATGTTTTAGATTCTCTTTTTTGAAGCTTTATTGGATCGAATGAAAAAGAAAATTTTTATTGGTCTACACAAAAATGAAATGGCAAAAGCAACCGATGGAAAGCACCACAGGAGCATACTTCCTCCAAATATTTAATTTGCATATTCATGAAGATAATTTTGTGTGAAATCTGAAAATAAGAAACCTCATATAACGTGCCAATAGGTGATTATAATCAACTGACTATTCATCCGGATTTCCGAAATTTACAAAGCCAAACCGGTTTCAAATCGGATGAATTACACCCTCATATTCAGCATGATGATTGTCTTTTGTGTCACACATCTCTTCAAACCTTTATTATCTATCTTCAAATTTTACAGGCAAAAGCTAAGATGTACTTTTATTTCTTAAAATCAGCTGTCCTAAAGGAGAACTTCAAAATTTTACATCTGCATAAAGATGCCTTCCATGAAATGTATGGTTTTAAACTTGGGAGAGTTTGCAAAGAGCAGATCAAAAATTTCCCAAGGATTGTTTGACATTGCCAATACTGCTTCCAGGGCCTCTTCCTTTTAGTCTCTCAGTCACTTTATACGTGTAAACACGCTACCAGGTTACCCATGAGAGTGCTCAGTCCCACCCTGCTTACCGTGATTCTCTTGTCATTGGCATCACACGTGTGCAGCTCTCTGGTAAACTCAATTACCGTGTGCGTGCTGTTTTCCATGGCATAGTCTAGGTGGTAATCTTGCTGGGTGTCTTTTTCCAATTCTTTATTTGCATTTGTGAAATAGTCCTGTCGAAAAAGGAAAAACAAAAATCAGGATATTCTAATACAGAATAAAAATAGTTTAAGAGAATGTAGGGGATATTCCAAAGTCAATTCGTGGTTTGTTCGGGATAAAACCCTTATACCTAAACCCATTTTATGAATCCTGGGATTTCCCAATGGACTGGGAATAACAAATCAAGATTGGTTATCTAGCAAACTGATCTACATTTAAACACCTGGTCCTTTGGGGAAAAAGAAGTAAAGATCCACACTCTCGCTGAGCATCAAAACTGAATGACTATTTGAGGTCACCGAGTGGATTTCTTCTGGTGTACAAATGAAAAGGGGGAGACCAGCACCATGCAATGGCTGGTCCCCACACGAGACAGATGGCAACAAGCCAGAACCAGCCCCAAGATCAGCACTTTTCTATTGCTTACAGCATCCCTTCATTCATGAATCCAAAACGCCAAGAGTAGTCAAAGGCAATTACAATACAAACTTCAACAGCACACGCTTATTACAATGAAATGCAATGAGAAAATATGCAAAGGAATGAAATTGCCAAAATATAGGATATTGATCAACTGAAAAAATTTTGGTTTTGTGGGTCACTTCTGGGACGTGGACACGAGCAGCATGAGCTTGAAACCAGGTGACTGGAATTCGATCTCCACCAGTCCTGGTAAATGGTTTTGTAGGATCGAAGAGGTCACATTCTGAGATCTTCTATTTGAGCACTAGCAAAATGGGCATAGCATGTATTTCTGTTGCAGGTTTTTAAATAGCATGTAGCCTATTACACTGAAAAGGATCAAAATAAATATGGTCATTTTGTCGCAAAATACTAAGTTTTATATATAGCTTAATTGTTTTCAATATGTAATATATTTCATTTTTGAGATCATCCTGTATTAGAGTACACATACCAGAACATAATTATAATTACTATAAACAACATCAAGTTATATTTGAAAAATTGGTTGCTGTGTTGGACTCAGAAAGCATAGCACACAGGCTGGGTGGTGTTGGCGCACACCTTTAATTGCGAGGCAGAGGCAGGTGATCTCTATGAGTTTGGGGCCAGCCTGGTCTACAAGAGCTAGTTTCAGGACAGTCTCTAAAACTACAGGGAAACCCTGTTTTGAAAAAAACAAACAAACAAAAAAATTATAGCACACAAGAAAAGTCTTTAACTATGTATGAGAGTAACACTTGAGTGACGATTGGCAATTTTATTCTTAGTATACTTTAACACAATTATCAAATATGTAGAAATTTGACATCCAAGATCTAGATATTTTTTAATACAAAAAAAACTCCAATTACTGACAGAGTCTAACTAACCTTTCTTTACAGTGGGGATAACAATTGCAACCTTTATGTACATAATGCTCAAGGTGCTGCTGCAGCCTGGTACATCTACTCACTTGTTCTTTAAAGTGTCAGATCAATGACATGAAACCATTTCTCCATTTGCAAACAAGAATGAAGCCATGGGACAGGATAATCCAGGTAGATGCTGTGAGCCCTAGCCCACAGTCTGTATACTTCATTGTGGCCACCACTGCTGGAATGTGGGTTTTATTTTACTTTCTTTTCTCTGCCTGTAGAAACTCATTACATTAGGCTTTACATAAAATACTACCTATGTGTGCTAAACCTGAGGGCTGACCCTGGGAACTAGGTTATAAATATGAAAATAATTTAAGTGACATATCCCATGATGATGCCTGGTTTCCATCACATAGATTTGAATCCTTCAATTAGATCCCAATGCCTAGGAAAGAAGAAATGGAGACCAACTGTTCCTTCACGCTCATAGTTCGCTACATTAGTCATGCAATTCATTTTGTAAACAAAAAAAAAAGGAACACAGTGCAAAATGTAATCAGTTCAAAGTATAGGGTAATTATTCTGATCTTGCAAATGTTTCCCCTACCCATAGTTGCATACGATATCCAACTTGCTTGCCAAGTTTCCATTCATCATGTCCTGCTCACCAGGGCTAATTCCAACCAGCTACTTTTCTCTGGCTTCTCGGTGAACTCAGTTATGAGAAATTGGGAGAAGCTTCCCTTAGGACTACTGCAGATCCCTTCATTCTTCTGTCAATAAGAACTATTTATGCATGCATGTAGATATGATGTATTTTCTGGTACCACATGCTAGGCAAGTACTCTACTATGGACAGGGGTACATATGTTCCCCTGTCCTCTTTTTACATTTTTTTTGTTACTTATTTTTTTGCAACAGAATTTTACTAGGTTGCCAAAGCTGGCTCTAAATTTATTCTGTAGCCCAGTATTGAATTTGAATTTGTAATCCTTCTGCCTCAGCTTCGCAAATAGCTAGAATTATAGGTCTATGCAGTCACTAATGTTCAAAACAATCTGAAGTGGCAACTGATAAGAACAGTTACTGCACTTGATCTTAGCCAAACAGCAAAGACTAGGCTCACAACCAAAACAAACAAAAATAATTAAAAAACAAATACAATAATCTTTTTTTTTTTGATTTTTCGAGACAGGGTTTCTCTGTAGTTTTGGTGCCTGTCCCGGAACTAGCTCTTGTAGACTAGGCTGGCCTCGAACTCCCAGAGATCCACCTGCCTCTGCCTCCCGAGTTCTGGGATTAAAGGTGTGCGCCACCACCGCCCGGCTACAATAATCATTTTAAAACCTATCTATGCATATGTACAAATCTTGTTATTATATAATATTTAAATATTAAAACTTTCTTTTCCAAAAAGAAAAAGTCTGGAGTGGACATGGTGCCTTTATCTGTGGGCCCAGCATTCAGGATGAGACAGGAGAAAGCTTTGACCCTAATAACATTGTCAAAAGAAGCTGATAATCTCAACATTAGTGAACTAAAATATGGCTGAATGTTATTAAAATTAAATTTATATGTAAAATAATATAACCACCATGTTGTGGGAGCTCCTTCCGCTCCTTCAGCCAATAGCTGCTGAGATACCAGCCCACTGGGGCATGGTCTCTCTCCCTTTAAAAAAGTGACCACTTCCCTCTGCGCCCGTGCTGGCTTCCAGCTCTGCTTCCGGTGAGTAGGCTCCATTCCTGATTGTGTAGAGGGCTGTTGTCTGGGACGGTGATCTGTAAGTTTTTCCCCTTTAAATAAATAGCTTCTCTATTGGTCATAATTCCAAACTGGTGTGGGATTGTTTGTGACTTACACCTTCACCAACATGATGATTTTCTCATTTTCCCATTGTTTTAGGCTTATTTGGAGACATCTTTGTACCTCAGCTTTCCAAACGGTTTTATTGTTTATGCATTTAGTTCAGATAATCCATGACTGAAAATCTACATGTCTTCAGGTCTCTCAACCAAGGGTATTTTTACAAGATGTCAACATTTCCCCACTCTCACCCTATGTCTTCTCTCATTGAGTGAGAATTTCAGCCATGATACTTGAGAGCTCTTTTCCTACCTTCTTTTTATCCTAGAAAATATCAACTCTGCTAAATCATAAAATATACTAAATCTAAAAGAAACACATAGAACAGATGAAGTAAAAAAATGAATGTAAATGAAATATAGGGAAAGTCAAAGTTCATATCATATTGTACAGACATTCAAAGTTTATAACATCATGCAATTCTTAGTAGAAAAATATGAAATAATTTAAACAAAAAAATAAAAAGACAAAAGCCAATAAAAGTCACTTAGGAGAACACAGTCAAAGTGTCTCATAAGTGAAACACTTTCCTACAGAGTAAATTCTAGGCCATGATGGTTTTACTTAAATTTTTATCAAATATTTTAAGGAAAAGTTAATACTAATCCCTCCTAAATTACTCTAGAAAATAAAAGAACTCTTTCTAAGTCATACTTTTAAATCTCCAGCATTATGCTTATACCAGTGTGAGAGACATAATTAAGAATTGCAAATTAATATCTCTCATTGAGGTAGGCATAGATTTTCTTAAAAATAAAAACAGAATCTCTGGGAGTTTGAGGCCAGCTTGGTCTACAAGAGCTAATTCCGGGACAGGCACCAAAGCTACAGAGAAACCCTGTCTCGAAAAACCAAAAAAAAAATAAATAAATAGCTTTTTGTTGTTGTTGTTTCTATCGCCTGCCTGCACCAAGCAGGGTAGGCGCTTTGTTTGCGACCTGCCCACCAGCACAGAGGCCTGATCTCTCAGCACCAGGAGAGACAGCATTGGGGTGAGTTTCTGGCCCCGCGGCGCCAGCCTCGGAAGGGGAGCTCAGAGGTTCCTTGGCCCCCTATCCTTCTTGGGCTCGCTGCAGGGCCCCCACTCCCTGCATACCTCCTCTTTCTTCCTAGCCCACCCAGCTCCTATCCAGAACCCTCCCCATTTCGGCTCCAGAGCCCTCTTTCTGAACATAACATCACCCAGACCAGCCTGTCTGGGCACTGGGTCCAAATCCTCGGGGCACTCAAGAGGGCGGGACTCCCTTTGTTTCTATCGCCTGCCTGCACCAAGCAGGGTAGGCGCTTTGTTTGCGACCTGCCCACCAGCACAGAGGCCTGATCTCTTGGCGCCAGGAGAGACAGAATTGGGAAGAGCCAACGTTGGGGAGAGCCAGCGTTGGGTAGGCAAGGAGACCTGATCCGGTTAAAGAAGATTCATAAGGGAGCATTTGGAAGAAGAGATGGGCAGACGCCAAGGCAAGAATTCGCCCAACAAGCTGAAAAGCAACATGAAGCCACCAGAAACCAGCGACCTCACAACGGAAGGACATGAACACCTTAATCAAGAAGAAGTAGAAAAGATTGACTTTATGAAAGTGATTGATGCCCTTAAACAGCATGTAAAAAACGCCCTTATAGAAATGGATGAGAAATATAACAGAAAGTTTGAAGAATTGAATAAATCAGTGAATGATACCCTAGAAAACCAAGGAAAAACAATCAACCAGATAATGGAAACAGTTCAAGACTTGAAAACTGAAATGGAGGCAAAGAAGAAAACACAAACAGAGGGCCGGCTGGACATGGAAAATTTAAGTAAACAAACAGAGTCTACAGAAACA